ATATGGGTTATTTTAGTGATGGGTGGGATTTTATTTAAAATTCCTATGAATCCTAGGTTTAGTATTTACTGTAGTAAACAATTATCAATTATTCCATCACTTCTTCGGATTATTTATTTTTAATCAATCTATATTCATGTGAAGTGTAGCTCATCTGCATTTTTCTTTCCCTGGAACCTAAATGTATATTATGAATTTGAATCCATCAGAAACTAAGTCAGTCAAAATCAAATTTAACTACATACGAAGTGAAAACGATTTGTATTTCGCAAATCAAAGTGATAGTTAAAGCAACCAAACTGTGTCAGAAATGTTCCCAAATTACTGGGTAAGGCTTTTATCAGCTCATCATCTGATCCAATAATTTTAATTGTGGCATTACATTCGGCATGTCGCCGCACGACTTCTATGATACTCAAAGTCTCACATATATAATTTGAAAGGGGGGGTCTGGGGGGGCGGCGCCCCCTCAGCAGGTAGCTTTTGCTACTTGTTGTCTCTCTATCTTTCAAAGAATATCACAAGAAATTATTTTTGAGTTGAACAAACTTTGGACTTTCTCAAAGAGCTACTTAAAATCTATCACAAGTGTTGGTAATTATGCCAACAAGCGATCAAAAATTCAGTCCATGACTGAGAATTCATTGTAGAGAGAAAAAACTCGTCCAGCAAGCACAAATTTTCTCTCATGAGAGTTATGCTGTTTGGTGCAACACGAGAAATAAGTCAAATTTAAAACTTGAAATTCATACAGAGTATTTTGCTGACAGAGAAAATAATGAGAAAGTTCTCAAAAAATAACACCTCACAACAAATTTCGGGTTCTGGTTTGCCCCTCAAACCAAATCAATTTTGTTCGATTTCTAGGTGAAAAAGAAGTCTGAAAATGCCCATAATGACTTCAGGAAAATTGTCTGGTGCTCAGAGCGCCGCCATTTTGAATTTTTCAAAATTGAGGAAACCCACGATCAGCTTTTTATAAACCTTGAGTTTTTCGAGTCAAAATGTTTGGACTTTTTGGTTTAGTTTTTCCCGCAAAATATTGTGGACCCAGCACTATTTTGCCACCTTGTTACACAGTTTGGGTCTTGTTTTAAGGGTTTTTCCTCTCTTTTTTTCTTGATTGTGAGGGAAAAGGTCGACAAAATCACATTTCAAGGGTGGAGCTATTGAACTGTTGTTTCACAGGATTAACTCAAGCTTTGAAACTTTTGCCATATGTTATCTAAAAGTAAATTTTAAACTATTTTCAATAAGCTTAATAGTTTATTTCTCAGATAATCGTGGCTAGAGATATGAACCAAGGTTTCTCCAAAAATCCGTACTAATGCTTTTTTTTTATTTGAGCCAATTTTTGATGAAATTGTTAATTTTACGACCAAAAAATTAAGCTAGGAAAAGAAAGAGGGTGATTTCGGTAGAGAATATTATGTTCTCTCTGCTGATTTTTTTTTTTTTGTAAGATTAATTGTTGAGGATATATTTTTAAAAAGCTGATCGTGGGTTTGCTCAATTTTGAAAAATTTAAAATGGCGGCGCCCTGAGCACCAGACAATTTTCCTGAAGTTATTATGGGCATTTTCAGAGTTTGATATCACCTAGGAATCGAACAAAATTGGTTTGGTTCGAAGGACAGAGCCCATGTTGAGCGGCGTAATGTATGACGGGAAGTCTGCAGAGTTGCAAACGGAGATACCTGATTTCGCACTTTAGCCATCGAAAATTATTCTAAATACCCCGTGTCTCGGAGAATGTGATGATTAGACGATATCTTGTAAATTCACCCTTTATTTTTTAACATTTGTTTGTTTGATTTCATTGCAGATTTTGGTCTCAGCTAATATTTTGTTCGGATTCTTTGAATGGAGTTATATCGTTTCTACAAGAAGGTTATCCATTTTACCTTTTAGATGAGCTGCCTCTTGACAACGAAATAAGAAAAGCGTATTATGAGACACAAAAAATCATTTTCACTCTGCTAATGAGATTAGTCACTCACACAGAATCAAAAGTGAGTTCCAAATCTTTTTTCAATGCCTATCGGTGTATTCACCATACTGATAGGTACTCTAAGCATGCAATATCATATTTTAATGTGGGAATACACTAAAATGCTCAAGTTTAGTGTATTTTTCATGGTTAAAAATGCAGTAATGGTCATTCTCCCCTTTAAAAAACGTAATTACATTTCAATGTTGCCAAATTTTCCCCGCAAATTGCATTTTTACCAAGAGTAACTGGGTTATTTTTAACTGAAATTCTCACTGATTTTTCTTCAGATCTCATGCAAAAACCAAACAAATTTTGGACAAAAATTGCACGGGTACACTTCTGTAAAAATTAAATTGTCGTAGTAAATTCTGCAACCTTGGAATGGAGTTACGCACCTTCAACAGGGAAACGTCGCAATGATAGAAAAACTCTTTTGACAGTCACAAGAAAATGATTTGAATTCAACTCCGTGTAGTAGTCAGCATCATGTGTAAGCAGTTAAAAATTTATACCTCCCCTTCCAATCAATCAATTTAAATTCGCTGAGAAACTCTTGTTTATTATTCTGAGCAGTGCATTTTGCACAACAGTAATAAGATGAAAATTTAAAAAAATAAAAAGTTCTTCACTCAATCTTGCCCAATTTTTATTATTAATTTTTTTATTGTTTTTACTTATTTTGACTCCATCAAATATTATCATGTATCATATTATGTACCTTTTTATTTATTATTTTTACCTATTATTTGTGATATTTCCATGTTAATTTTGTAATAATCCGTGATGATGATGGGCTCAAAATCCAAAATATGCATTTACAATCAATAAACAGGAAAGCATGGGTGTGGAGGCAAAATTTTTCCTTATTTCAATTTTCATCTCTGATCATTTAAGCCCCTGGGAATGATTTCTCATGTCTCATGTCCCTATTTTTAACCATGAATTATTTTCTATCTTTCAATGGTTTAATATTTTTTGTTCCAGTGGGAAAATATATCAAAGCCAAAATTAGGAGAAATTATTTATAATAGCTACATCGTCACTCTGCCTTTGATTTTTGATGTCTGCCTAATTTATGGGCCTAAAAATAAGCTGCCAGTGTCCAAATTCATTACAAAGGTTGTTAACTTGCAATCTCAATATTTGAGTGACATCAAGAAATCAGTTCCTTTTATATTCAAGGTAAGCTCATTTATTTCAGAAGAACAACATGATTTCTAGTATCACTCTGCATTTTCCCTTCACACTAATTTCTTTATACCTTTGCCTGACTTTATAATTTAATTTCACTTTAATTAACTTTATTTTTACTTTATTTAATTTTTTTAGTTCCAGTAATTCTAATTTTAGTTATTATAGCTTTAATTGAAACTGATAATATATTTCAAATGGCTAAGAAGAACAACAAATTTAAGCAAATAGTAAGATATATATGATTCATAAAAAATTCAAACTTGCTTAAAAAGATTGTATTTATAAGCCAAACGGAATAAAAAAATCCTATTGCGCTTGTCGACTTTATACATTCTAGATTTAACTTAAAAATTCTTGCTCTGTGTGTAAACAATTTGATTTATTCCTCTTTTATTGTGTTCAGGTACTTACTACAATAGAAGAAAAAATAGGATTTAGCTCTCAGTTATCAAGCGGTGAACCTGTGAAATTAGAAAAACGAGAAGAATTGAAACCTGAAAAGTTAAGTCTAAAAGTTGTCGTGGATTTGGTCCTGCACTTACTGGACAGTGTAGCAACGTTAGATATATTCCTCGAGTGCTTTCCTCCAGGACGCGGAATGTGTCACACAGCAGGAGTAGAACTAAGGTAAACACATAAATAGTTTTTCTTTCTGTTTCCTTCCTCCTTCAGTCTAACTTTTCTAGATCGAAAGAAACTTTTCTGAACTAGTAAAGAAAGATCATTTGTTTTCAAAATATTTTTAGAAATTTTTGTAATTCTAAATCGATCAAAGACTTTAGTAACTACAGTGAAACTTAAAATTATAAAAGACTCCACGAACCTCTGTTGTTCCTGTTCTTTAAGAATGAAGCCATAATATTCTTATTTTCCATTTCATGACACATTGTCAAAGAACCTTCCCCAATTTTTGTTTCTCTAATATACATAATTGCTTTATGTTCTTCTTTTATTTCAGACTAGCAAATTTTTACGAAAATGTACTGCCAATAATTAGCAGTAGTATTGATGAACTAAGTAGTAAGACTCCATCATCAGAAGAAATTGTGTATGTGAGGCAAAAACTGGATCTAACTCGGTTTGAAATTCTAAAAACTTTCCGGCTCGCCATAAGTGCCTGCACAGACACTGCCAAAATACATAAGTAAGTAAACCTCCTAATTTTATTGATCTTATTTTGTGATTTTTATCATCTTAAGTTTTAATTGAGAACCACATATCTGTATTAAGGTGCAGAATTATTCCTAGTTCCCTTAATTGTCTTACCAAAAAAAAAAGTTGAGGTATGATTCAGTCTGTAATTGTATGTCATTAAAAACTGAGTTAACAGAGCTTGAGAAACCACCTTTAGCCCAGTTGTAACTGTTTTAGCAAAAAAAAAGGAATTTTAACTTTTAACTGCACTATAACTTGCCAGAAGTTTGACTGTGTTGACATAAAGTTAGTGACGGTGTCTTGTCGATTTGCAGTCTCCTTGAGCTTTCAAAAATTTACTGTCAGAATAAAATAATGATACAAGAACCTTCACTAAGAACTACATGAAAATTTCAATTTAACGAATTCCAGAGGACCGGCGATGAAATTTGCTACATCGAAAATTCGTTAAATCGAAACCCTCAAAAAACCCGATTTTGAGCCACAATTCTTTTTGAAAATATTCGATTTCTCCAGTTTCCTGTACACCCAATCCCCCTCTTAACCACGACGATATAGGTACAGAAACTTGGCGGGAAGAAAAATATAAAACAAGATTATTACAAACAAAACAAATGACCTATATTACACTTCATGTGCAGCACAGTAAAATTATAATCTTTGAATCTGCGGACAATACGCGAGTGAAGACAAAAATGCTTTCCTCAGTGTTGTTGCCGGGCGAGTGGGAATTTCCATGCATTAAGTAGAGTTTGATGTACATGGTAAAGATCATACTTGGACCAAAGAATTCCTTCGTCGAATGGTAATTCGTTAAATAGAATTTAATTTACATGAAAAAGATTGGGATTTTTTCAGGACCGCCAAAAAAGTTTGTTAATTCAAAGAATTTGTTAGATCAGTGCTCATTATTTGGAAGTTTTACTGCATCAGAGTCTAAAGATACTTACAAATGATGATTTAGACTATAACTGTCCGCTCTTTGAAAAAGTTTTCTACTTGTCAGTCTCATTTTGATTTTTTGTTTCAGATCGGAAGCAAAAAAGCTCTGCGAGGACTACTACAAAGTTCTTACAGAAAGCTTGGCAGGGAGGATATTCACGCATGACTATCACAAATTATATCCTATTGACCTAGATTTAGATCTTCTAGGTAGCCTATGTCCTGAAATAGATCACAACCGTAGAGAATATGTCATGGGATGTGTTCGTATGGCACTAGCCGAAACCGTCCGAAATGCATCACCTCCAGCGACAACGAGTGTAACTCCTGATATCAATCAACCCAGCACAAGTGGAGCTGGACCATCCTCTTCCAAAGCAATCGATACTCCGAAAACTTTCACACACGACGAGATCTCCTCGCGCATAGCTGAAGTTAAAGATGTACTCCCACACTTAGGTGATGGATTCGTCAAAGCCTGTTTAGAATATTACGATTTCGAAAGTAGTCAAGTAATCAATGCTGTTCTTGAAGAGTCATTGCCTCCTCATATCCTAGATATCAACCCAGACACACCATGGATTCCTGAAGAAGCATTAAAGAGCCCGGAGCCAAGTACAAATGAAGGCGAGTTGGTAGAGAAACAGGATAAGTACCGCAACTTCAAAGAATGTTTTAACGACAAATCGCATGTCCGTGAGCTGAAAGAGGTGTATCAGAAATTCGGCTCAGTCGACACGGAAGCAAGCTTGTACGATGATGAGTACGATGACACATATGATGATGTAGATTTCGTTCCACCTGGTGGAGACTTGACGGAAGAAGTTAGGCCATTCGTTACACCGAGAGTCTTGCTCGAACACGACAAGTCCCGAAAACAAAAAGTTCAAGAAGAGGAATCTGAAGAGGACGAAGAAGAGAAATCGGATGGACCAAAACCGCTTGATTTCTGTGTGAATCCAGAAGTCTTGAGGGAGCGAGCAGCGCAGCGTTATCAGTCGCGAAGGAGGGGGGCTCCGAGACCTGAGAGGAATGTTGTCGGTAAACCGAAAGGTCAAGGTCAAGATAACGATGTTCTCCGAAATCGAAAGCATAAGAATGAAAATAAAAGTACTGGTGCCAATCATAATCGACAAGCTTTGGCGAGAAGGAAACGCAATATGGGGATGTTTCCATCGTAATCATTACTCTCCTTCAGGCTCGTGGAGTCAGAGTTTAGCCTTCAAAGGGCCTCTCTTTACCTGATACCAGTTGTGATAAACTCAGTGAGTCCACTCATTTTTTATTTTTAAGAATTTTATTACTGTTGTTTTTACCCATGTAATAATATTTTGTACTATGCTGAAGTTCTCAATGCATGGTTTTTGAAATAGTTTTTTGGTAAGCAAACCTTTTTATTTATTAAAATAAAACAATTTATTTTCCAATCAGACCTGTGATTTCATGGAATCCTGTGATAGGAAATTTCTTAATGATCTTGAAAATTTTAAATGTTCTGTAATTGATAACAACAAGGATAGAATATAGTTTGAAACGTCAAATTTGAAACGTCCAATATTTGCCAGATTGGAGCAACAACCACACAAATATTAATCAAAGCAAAAAGAAAAAGACAAGTTATAAATTCATTTGCGCAACAAATTCCTGTTAAAACTTAGGGTATGTTTAGGCCAACAGCTCATCATTAGCTTGTCTCGCGTGTTTAAAAGCTTATGAAATTTGTAAGAAATTTGATTTGCAGGTGAGTTTTATTGTTTTTTCTTTTTGCTTCTGGCCAAAATTTTCATGAGCTGAATATTTTTGAAGTGGTAAAATGATAATTTACACCCACAAAAATGAGAGATCATAAATGTAATTTATGAGCTGAGTTCTTGTGTGCCTTTCTGTCTTTAGAAGACAAGGTAAGTATTTACAGCCAGGAAAAACTAGGGAATGTCAGGGAAAGTTGCACAAAAAATCAGAGAAAAATTGTTAAATCACCTTTACTCGCTTTTTAGAATGTGTTTGACGTTTCCAGCAACAAATGTTGCATGCATCAGGTTCGGAAGTGGCGATTTTATATCTTTTTAATCATTCTGCATATCCTCAAATGTCAAGAAATTTAATTTCCTAAATCTCGTGAGAACCCTGAAAAATAGATCTTTGTCAACATAAATGAGTTTTTAGCTCAACTTTTAACTCCATGCAAGTCAGTATTTTCGAAGGAATATAACCCATACTTCCACAAAATTTTCAGCTAATTTTTTTTGTCAAGGTCTCCTTCGAATTTGTAGCAAAGAATTTTGAAATGTTTGCCATCATTTCTTTCAAGTAAATTCAAGGCTGTTCAATTGGAAGAGATTGAGGAGAAAGTGTCATGGTCCGTAATATTTTTTTTTCTCTCCAGCCCACTAACTGTTACTTATACCCAAAATCAAGAGAACAGTATAACCATTATTGTTTAGAAAATTACAGAATATCTTCTTGAAAATTACTGAGAATATTTTTGAGAGAGTGAGGAAAATTCACAGATTTTCCTCCTATCACTAATGGACAATGTGAGTTGCAACGTTGCAGAGGTGTGCATTCACTGACTTTCAGCATTAATACTTGCAGCAGGTATATGCTGTCTTTCCTCAAGAGTTGGACCTGGTTTATTTTGGACAGACACACAGCACTGTGTTACAGCCGCGGTGCTCAAGGAAGCTGAGCTGTAATGTACATAAAATTTTTCCAAAAAATCTCAGAAGCACTGCTAGTCAATTACTGAAATTTATCCATGTTGATTTGACCCACAATAAGACTTAGCTTTGGGGTACGGCACTGACTTGCCAATGATATGATATGGTCAGAGTAATTTGAAGTATCTATTTGGTCAGTTCACTGATGAGCTATTTCGCACTATTTGAGTTGATCTAAAATTAGCGCCAACCTCATTGCGAAAGACACGGTCTAGAAAGTTTGGGATCCATCTAGCACAAGTAACACGTCGCCATCATAGCTTCGTTTTATTAATTATTTTATTGTGCATCAGTAAAGTATTAACAAATTCGGAGAATAATTGCAAGATATGATCCAAAGTTCCCTTATGTCTAAAAGTTGAGAGTTGGACTCGGAATGAAATATTTCTTTCAAAATTTTTACCGTACCGTTCAAATTTAAGCTTGCTTTCATAACATATTTTTTCAGCACCATTTGACAGCGAATTGCTGCGACATGGAGAGGAGCTATTACCTACATAATGGGACGAAATCTTAAAATAGATATACGCTCAATAGGGAATAGTTGCGTCATTTTAAAAATGCCGCCATCATATCCCGCCAAAATTCTTGACCTTGAGTAACTCAACGTTGAACTCACCAAAATCACCGGCGGTTGTTGATGGAAGTCGTGTCGTGGTCGCAGTATTGTGGAAAATCTTGCTGAACTTCTTGAGGGGGCAAAATTCACTTTTATCACATTCAAATCTTTTGCCATTCCAGTTTCTTACAGTCATTCAACGCAGTTTACCATTTTATCACTCAGTGAACAAGTTCATGGTGCTTTCCTACCCCCAGTGTCTTCTGCCATTACTTGAAAAATGGACATCAGTTTGAGCTCAACACCCCCCACATCCCTCTGAACTCACTTTTTGGAATTAAGATTCCTATCTTTTTCATGGTAATACTTTGTATTTCATCAGCTACAGTCCAAATTTCTGAGTCTATACTCTTACTAAATTTTTAGTCTTGCCATAAGGGTTCGCAGGGTTCTTGTGAAGCAGTTCAAATGTTCAGGTTAAACAGGCTCATTTTCTTCCATTTGAGAACATTTGGCACTTTTGATATCTGTATTTGACGATCAGCAAAATCTATTTTTCCCATACGTTTGATTCAGGAATACATTAATATGCCGCTGTTGTTTGTGAATCGTAAAACTCAATGGGTACGCTACACAAACTCAGCACCATGGTGAAGCCTTGTAAACTGCATTGGTGATTCGACAGTTGCCATTTTTTGTGTCAGAGCGGGGTGCGATATATCGCATCAATTCGTTCATAATTTCAGCTACTTGTCATTTTTTCGAATTTTTAGATCGCACTTCTGTTGTTATGAGGCTAAATAATTCATGCACCAAATTTTACAAAGAAATTCAATGTCATAAAGGCAGGATTTTTTCAGAGGAAAAATATCGTATGAGGCACTGATATTGAAACTGCACTCGAATGCTTCATTACTCCTCTGAAAGAACCCTGCTTTTAATAAATATAATTTCTTTGCCAAATTTGGTACATGAATTCTTAAGTCTTATGACAACAGAAGTGCAATCTCAAAATTCGAAAAAAATGACAAGTAGCTGAAATTATAAACGAATCGATGCGATAAACTGCACGTCGCTGTGACAAGAAAACGGCAACCGTCAAATCACCTTAACCAGCTGTATGAACCAAGTGAAAGTTTTAATCCACCAAATATAAGAACAATCTGATGCTCTTTAATGCTTGAGTTCTTACGGAGGCAAGAGCTTATTCTATGTGTTCATTAGTAAGTTATAGCTCATATTATTCGGAGTTGAGCACGTATAAATAGGCAAGTACTGAAATCGTTGTGGCAACTCTGACTAGACGCTCGGTTCTCAGAATTCTCTACCTTAAAAGATGGATCAATCATTAAATTATTCGTCCGATTGATGCTTGATGGGATATTGCTGATTGACCAAATAACCCCACTTTCCACTTTGATTTCATTCAATATGCTTTGATCAGTATTGTGGTAGCTGGATCAATATTTTTACTTATACCAGCCACTGTGTTTGTTTTGAGGAAAGCATTGCTTCCTTTCAAGAATACCGATTGAGGAGAGATCAGTGAGGGTATAGGAAGCAAACCCATTGGCCGAATACCATGGGTTTCACTCTTATTGGAGCTCTCTAGGCGAACGCACCTGAACAGTTCTGATTTAAAGCATGCTCATTCCTTGGTGCCATGCATCGCAAAATGCTGGACTTCGGAGAGACTAGCTAACTGCAAGCCTCACAACCTCTGACTTATGCTTGCACTTCGTGTTGTCCTGTACCAAGCACCAAAAGGCCAATGTACCTATTCATGTGAATTGAATTGAGTACCACTGAGCAATTTTTAATGTTGGCGGCCAAGAGATTACATCACGTCAAGCTAGCTCGGAGATGTTATCTATCAATAGCCGCGAGGAGTTGTTGGGTGATTTGTAAATGAGGGCTTGAGGCACCTTTTCAGTTTATTACTGAAGTACATCATTTCGCTTTGCATGGCATTGCAGAGTGCTTCAAATCAGGACTGTTCGGCTACATTTGCCTAATGTACTCAAACAAGAGTGAAACCAGTAATGCCCTGCCGATGGGCCTGATTTCTTTACCCACATTAAACTCTTCTCAGTCAAGATTCTCGAAAGCAAAGTAGTTCTTTGCCTAAAAAACTGCAATGGCTTGAAGAAGCAAAAACATTAGTCAAACAATGGGCCTTAAGGGAACTTCTTCACGGCTAGCTGAATCATAGTAGTTTTCATGCTCAGTTGTACATAAGATGCTGCTTATCGACGGTTCAATTCGGCAATCATGCAACTCAGTTAGCGATGTTGCGGACTTCCTGTCATACTTTATTTTCTAAACGGATAACTACGCAACGACAATTCTTTAAAACTTCCATGATTTTTCTTCTCCGTGAGAAGAAAATTCTGAACAAACTTCAAGGAATGATATCAATTAGCTCTCTTTTAAAAAAATAACATAGAGGCGGAGATTTTCAGACTCTGCAAACGAGTCATGTGATTGCTGACTTACACCGTCGTTATCTGGAAAAGACTGGTATATTTGCTACCACATTTTGACTGCATTGAGCAGAAAGGAACCATGCCACATCAGCTATTGCCAATTATAATTGGGCAGTTTAATTTTTTGCCTGAAAACGGTCGTGCGGATTTTTTTGCAAAGTTCAGTGAATTTTCTGCATAGTATGAAGCAAATTCTTTAAAATTTTCCAAAAAATTTGCATGTACGTTCTCTTGAACAAAATTAATTTACTTTGTTAAATTTGGCAACAGCTGAAGTTTCTTGGTTCCTTTCTGGTAAACGATGAACAAATGATGCTTTTTAATCATGCTGCTCCTAAATAGCTCAAAAAACCATTGCGACATCAGAACAGACCATTTTATCCAGGTAGAACCATCGAATATTATTGAATGACATAGACATTTAATCACAGCTTTGATATCATATCTCAGAAGCTAGGAATCTATGGAAGAAATGTATGCAATATAGAAGAGAATTTGCTCGAAAAATTCTGATCGTTTTATCTAAGATAATTCAATGAGCTGATATTGGAGTATTTTTTATAATTTTTTCTGATTTGGGAAATAGTGAAAACAATAATTAAAAGTGAAGGAAGTGACCTTCTAATGTCCTCAGGCGGCAATCCCCCTTCTAACACATTTAATCATTTTAGACAATTAAATCATTATTGTCACATCTCTATTAATTAGAAACTTAAGACACGCTCTTGCTCAGTTAACTCAGTAGTTTCAACCTGAACATGAAATTCATCAAATTCTAGACACCTGAAAATACTTCCTGTGGACTGATCACAAGTGGAATTTCGTAATCTTGAAATTGCTACTCCGTGTTCCTTTCTGACAGCATGAATATTAATCGGGCTTTTTCTCTCTTTGTTTGCTCTAGGCATCAAGCAACTTCTTCAGAATGGAGCTAATTTTGCTTTTAATGAAATTTTACTTAGTGACATGATAATATGTCTCGCGGACGAGAACTATCCAAAGATGAAATAGAACATCGCTTGAGAAATAATGACTTATTTCTAGACGATATTGGTTCCAACGAAACAGAATCACCTGAGGTAAAACCTCCCACCAAACGGCCAGTCGGTAGAGGCTTCCACTCAGGAGGACTTTTCCCAGGTGGACATGGTTTGGTGGACAACCGCTTTAAACTAAACCCTATTGAAGAATCCTCCATAAGGGATAGACTGAGCAATTTCAAGAAAAGTGTTGAGACATCTCTATACGATGAAGATGATGATGTAAATATCGACAAGAACTCATTATTGAAAAGTAACAATGAATCTGTTCATCGCAGGCTCCTTGATAATGGATCATTTATGCGAAAAGTTGAACTGCTGAACACACAAGAAGAGAACGAAATTGCTGTAAGACTGAACTCCTTAGCAGAAGAAGTCATGGCGGAAAAAGCTCCATGTGCTGCAATTTTCCCAAACGCATCAAAACTTACTGAACCTGATATTTTCCCACCTGGTGATGATAGCTTAAGTAACCATATGAGCAGGGACAAAAGCTCTACTTTTGACATTTTTCAGTCCAGTGATGGAACATGTGATGCTCCGAAGGAGCCAAGTGACGAAGCTAGAAGTCTAATCGATAGATTAATGTTTGAGAAAAACCAACTGGAAGCAGAACTCCTTAGGCAGAAACAAAAAAGCGCTGGAATGAATAAGACTGAATCAAGTGAAACTCACAAAAAAGTTGAAGCTGTAGACACTTTGAAGTTGAATCAGCCACCTCCCCCCGGCTCGATCAAAGCTAGATTAGGAGGTTACGTTGAAGAGCCAAATCCGGTGAGAGAAGAACGTATCATTATCCGAGACTCAACCGAGAACAGAGAAAATCGATCTTCTCAGAAGTACAGTAGTAGACACAAACCTGATGACAAGCACCACAATAAGGTGTCAAGGCACAGTCCACCGAGAAGAACTAATATAAGGAGTAAGTCTCCTTTGAGACGCAACGACCGATCTCCTCCATCACGCAATAGATCTCCACTTCCATTCAGACCAAGGTCACCCAAAAGGAATAGATCCCGGTCACCCAGACGGAATAGGTCCAGGTCGCCAAGGCGCAGGTCCAGATCTCCTCGGAGAAGATCTAAATCACCAATTTTTAGAGGCAAATCGCCAAGGCGAAGATCTAAATCTCCAAGGCACAGGTCCAAATCGCCAAGGCATAGATCGAAATCTCCACGGCATGGATTGAGGCCAAAATCTCCAAAACGTAGGTCGAAGTCACCACGGCTGGGATCTAAATCACCTCGCCGGTCAAAGTCACCTCGCGGCAGGTACCGCACCAGATCTCGCAGTTATTCCCCATCGCCCGGGAGGTCTCCATCAAGAAAATTCAAACGTGATGTTGTCAATCCAGAACTTCTGATGCCACGCAATCCGCTCAGTCCCAATAAGTCCAATGACCAATGGATGAGACCTAGTAATGCACCTGATCCAGCATGGAAAGGAGCTCCGATAAATTCATTTAATCCAATGAATGTGCCAATGGACATTCCACCTCCCAATTTTGAGGTAGGTATTCATTTTTTTCTTGTTATAACTTGTATGGTTGGTAAAGTCTTGCATAAAATATATATGTCGCAGGCAAATAGTCAAGTTAGGCATTCTATCAAATGCTTAGGCAGATACTTAAATTTTTAGAGTTTACGAGGTTTTTTACGTTTTCACAAAGACTTCTCTAATTTTCAATATTTTGAGACAAAAAATCCATTGAAGTACAAATTGTCATTTTATTTCCATTCAAAAATGCTCCTCATAATTCTTCATCCGTCCAAATTGTGAAAACCTTTTATTTTACGAAATGCTGCATATTTTGAGATAAATTGGCATGAAAAGACTAGAAAAAACATATTTATGATCGAATGGAACAAGTTTTTACAGGGAATTCTTTTCCTTAATATCAGAGAAGTATTTCGTCTACAGTCAGCAAAATAATCAGAATTTCAGTCCAAATAAGAATATTTAACTATTTCCCTAGGCATTTAACAAAATGCCTGATTTGACCGTTTGCCTGCAACACATACATCAAGTTTCACATGAACTGTTGATGAAAAATAAGATTAATGTATGCATGTATATGTTGATGAATTTTTAATCTGGAGGAAACAAGGCTGAAAACAACTAAACTACAAAATATGCAATGTTTTGCCAGATATTTCTGTCATTTTCAATTGAATCAAAGGCCTAAATTGGAGTGCATCCATCTCTGGATGGGAGTACGAAGCACCATGTATGTGCATTCATGATGTTCTGTAAACAAAAATCAATAAGTAGTACTTAGCAAATTTAACAAGTATACCTATCTTCTAAGTACAGAAAAACTAAGTGAAAGGATTGAACGGGCATTCTTATTGGGCTTGCGAGTGCACAGAACTCTAAACTCTGACTCGCAAGAAAGCAAACAATTCTGAAAAACTGATTTCAAGTTTTTCTCCCCACTCAGAGTTGCAATTTTTGAAGAAAAATAAATTTCAGAGAATTAATTTGATTCTCCGGCAAATTGACAAAATTCAACTGTGACAATAAGTCTTCTATTTCTATTCTAAGTGATTTCTAAGGATAAAAAAATATCCCAAATCATATCACTAGGGTCAACTTTTTCAAAATGTTACATAAATTGCTAAGAGTTCTTTCGTTTGTCATAAAACTCGATTCTGATTTTAAATCTGTGCAATTGTGTGCTTATTTTGGCCAAAAAATTTATGTTGTGAAATAGTCAATTTGAAGTTGCCATCTTATTTGCTGTCTAACAATGAGCTCTGAATTAATTAAACACACTTTTGTTCCAGCAACCACCTCCCATGTACAACTATCCACCTCAAGATTTTGGAAACCCTGCGGTCAGGCCACCACCCCTCTCTAATTTTCCTTCTGGTCATTTTGATCCTACCAGGCCCTATTTTCCAGGTGGACCGGGACAGCAGTTTGTGCCAAATGAGGTATGAATACAGTCTAATTACTATTTTTCTTATTTTCCCTGGTATCCTCGGTCCATTCTTGTACTTACTCCTGCTGAATTATTTTTTCATTGACGAAGTAACTGTCTCAAAGTATAATTGTAATGGAGAATTCGGATGTATGGATGTGAAGTTTTTGTATGGTATCGTTTTTCTCTCCCGTGCGAGACAATTTATCATCCATAGCAGTTTTTAGTGTAACTTCCAAAAGCAAACGCACAATGGCAATCTATCCTTATACCAGACTCAAGCCGTAGACCTTCTAAAGAGCACAGATTTGAGACCATAGATACAAATATCATGACCAGTTTTTTAAATTTCATTGTCATTAATAAGTGTACATAATCCTTTGCCTTATGGCTTAACGCGGCATTTGCCCAAGTTGTACCCGTAAAATTTCTCCAGTTTATCCTAGGGCGATGTTCACTGAATCAACAATAAGTTTTTATCCTTTCACCAAAAGTTTGTATAGTAAAAAAACAAAAATTGGACTTATTTTCAAAAAAATTCTCAAGTCCATGATCATGTAAATTGGACGCTTGGTCTGACTCAGTAACCAAAATCTAAATAGCTCAAATCTAGACAGTAAGGTCACAGAAAGCCTCTAGAAGTAATTCGGTTTGATCTGTCCTAGGAAAAGTGACTCCGAAAAGTCCTAAAACCCTACAAGCTTGAATGAGTGATGCCTTGTTACCTTTTGGAAAGCTGGTACACATTTGTACTTCCCGCAGAAATGCATACCCTTACGGTTTTTTACATTTTTCCAGCAATGGATTGCTGAAGAAAATTTATGGCATTCCATGAAAAAGCATTTAATGTTTCGATTGGGCTCGGTGTATATATCTTTGGGTGGAAAGAGAATCTGTACAAGTCCTATAAAATCTCAGATGAATAAAGTTAGTTTGTAAAGTGCTTTATTGGCAAAAAGAGATTTTCTAAGGTTATCAAGTTACTCTTTAGAGTTAATCAACGGCAGTGTAGAAGTAAGTGTTTTCATTCTGTGACTCTGTTTTGTGCAGTGTTAATGGTTAAACTTTTTTTTAATTGACAAGGTATCTCCTAATGGTTGATCAGCAACAACTGAACTTCTTTGGGTCCAGTAACTGTTCCGACACATTACTGGTTTAAAATTTTTGTATTCTCTTCACTAAATACGTATTCGCAATTAAACTATGAAAACTCATCTCTCTTGTATGGTGTTTAAAGATTCTTACTTGTCCATTTTTCCAGAGAGATTTGTGCAGGCCCCTTATAAGACATCTGAGGAGAATATTTTTGATAAGGCAAAGGAAAGTCACAAAATGTTTTGCAATATCAATGATCAGTTATTTTTTGGACAAATGATGTGTGACTGGGAATCTGCAATGTTGCAAAGCAAAGTAGGTCTTGTAGTTTCATAATGCAAGACACTATTGTACATTTAGAGATTGAAGAGAGACCTGCTAATTTTCTTTTCAAGCATTTCAGTATGAGTCCTCTTTTAAATTTTAAATGTACCTTTTTAAAAATGTTAAAATATCAAGGAATAGTTCAAAAGAATAAGGTTGTTGGAAGAAGGAGACTGGCGGTAATTGGATATCTAGAATGTTACTTACATGAACACTGTCCAGAAAATTGATGTTAACTAGGGCTGTGTCAATAATTCGCTCATCGTATAGTGCCAAGAAAAAGACTATAAGCAAGAAAGAATCTTCGTGTTTGTTCAACCTGTTTTTCTCAGGTTAAGTGAGAACTGCGCTCATGTGCTTTTTTTTAAGTCCAATCAATGCACACCTCTGTAAGAAAACTTTTCTCTTACTGCCACTTTCCGGGCAACATTTATATTTTCTATCCCCAGGTAAGTATCTTTATTTCAAATATTTTTCTATCATTTATTATGACAATAGTAGAGATGGTCATATTTGTGTTTAATTGTTCATAATTTTAACATCTTGTAAGTAATTTAATTGTAGTATACTTTGCTATGAAGATCTATAATCTCTGGCTCACCCCAAGAGAACCTATCTGCATAAGGAAACAAATGTTATTTGTTGATGGTGAAACTGCAGGAACTTGTATTTTGTTTGTGGTGTCTCAAATCTCCGCTTCCATTCCATCAAAAAAGAACAAGCCAACGCTATCGCTTGTTTGTATAGAATATTCTTCTCACAGTGAAAAAAAAATCAGAAGAATATACAAGAAACGAAATTGAATATTTTTCAATCCCGTAATAAGGTTATGACACAAAGTAAGCAACGTCCCAAACTGAGATACCCATTCCTACTGTTTCATCATCTATATGTTGTTAAATAATGAGCCAAAAAGTACTTAATTTTAATTGCAAAATTTGGTCCAATTTCCGTAAAAGTTTCAAGCTTCTACCTATTTCGTACAATAGTAGTGTGCCTACCATGTGTGTTTGTGACATATATCCTGTGTGCATGCATCAGCTCTAGATTACTACGTACCTTACTTTACTTTTAATTACCAAATGAAACATTGTTGCAATTTTTTATTTTTGTCTCCGCCTTGTCAAATTTACAGCATCAGGTCTTTTCCCAGGGAAACTTCAATTACTGAGAAAAGCACGGAAATCTAAAAATTCTAAAATAATGATAATGGTCAGCGAATTTTTTATTTGATGTGCCAAATTATTTTTTATGCAACAACTTATCATTTATGTAGGTTTAAGTATGAGTGGTTTGTTAGAAATTTGTTGGAATAATGAGCTGCCTATAAAATACGTGAGGCTGAAAATCCGATTTTTTGACTCTCCTCCTCTGACTTAGCACAGCCCCCCTAAATGGTTTTGTGGTGCATTTTGGCTGAAAAATTGCCACCTTGCGTCAAATTTTCATTTTCACTTCTTAATAAATTAGGGCTATGCGTCATTCTCAGCATAATGCTAACAACCCTGGATCAGTCCCTCCGAACTGTAACGCACTGTTAAAGCAGGCTCAGAATCCCCTGAACCCTAGAACGTTATGTATCTCATGAACAACCCTAAATGTTTTTTCTTCTTTTTTTCAAGGTAGATAGATTAATTTGATTAAAGACGAAGCACTATCATACATTTATCTTGTAAATTTGTAGCCTTTAATTTGTGCAATAGAAGTAATCTTCCAACTTTATACACTTTGCGCATTCTTGTAAATTAATTTGTAACAATGTAGTCATAAAAGAGGATAAATTTCAGGGATTCAGTGGTCAAAATCGGCCGCCTGGTTGGAATCAGCCGCCCGGGCCAGGGCCTTTAGGACCCATGAATGTACCACCTCCATTCGTACCCTCCGGCCCACCACCCTCAGGCCCACCATCCTCCAGCCTACCGCCGTCCGGCCCACCACCCTCTTGCCGTTCAAATTTGAGAGGTACCTATTTGAATATATGTATTTCTTTTTAAGTGCCGTACTTGTCAATGCTCAACCCTCTGAATCTCCGTTTTATGACCTTATTTAAAAGGCTCAGCCAAATAGTTTTTTTTGGTTGTCCAAAGGTTTCTTAAGTAATTAATCTCAAGAATGTCTCGAGAATCTTTGTAAAATGTGGTAAAATTAAAGTCTAGCACACCAAAACGATAGCAAATATTGAATTATTGAATTATTTTTTTTCACTAATATATCTGGGCAAAAAAAAAGAGTGCAATTTTTTTTTTTTTTTTTTTTTTTGCTTAAATGATGCTGGGAACAAGAGGGAATGCAGAAGGTGGTTCCATTTTAAAATGTTTAAAATCGTCAACAATTCAGGAGAGCAACTCAAAGAACTTTTCAATAATATTTAATTTTCCATCAACGTTTTAAAATCATCTCTCAGTCAACTAAAATATCTCCATTGTCTCTGAGATTTTGTGGCGTAAAATTGGATGGTTTTCCATACATACATATATACAGACATAAAAGCCGCTTTCAAAGTGCTCTTTGACGCTCCGCGACTCCCAGTCAACAAAGTCCCCTATCCTCCCAAAGCCCTTCAGGGAGTTGGCACTCCGCCATTTCCTCTAAAACCCCCTGTCGCCACCCTTTCTATGGGCATCCTCTTTGCCTCCTCCCAGGAGGAGTCCAATTAAGTATCTTCTTTTGCAGCCTCTGTCAACAAGATGGCTTTAACTGGAAGTAATTTTTTTTGTGTCTTGTGAGTCAATGTGCACAAATCTTGAAGTTGCTATCTTTCTCTTCTTTGCTAACCTAATGGAAAGTATTCAATGCTTTCGAATATATTTCCATTTTTTTAACACCAATATTTGGTACCTGGGTAGGCCTCCAACTAATATTTCTTGTTTGTCTCTGTCAAATTTTCCAGTGCTTGGGGATGATGCGACACAACAAAAGCCATCCTACGATCAGAGTCAACTGTCATTCAATCAAAAACCAGCAGCAGGATTAGAACCCACAAATCTAGGTATAAGCCGACTTTAATATCCGCAGACTGCCTCTCCATCTCTCTTATCTATTAATTCAGTTCACTTTTCTTTCTTCTCTATTTCTTTTCTATTTTCCTATATGTAGGTATACATTATATCTGTGTTCAAAAACCTATCTCTTGTTAATATGCTCTTAAATCATTAGCCATATTCTATGTTCTGGTAAATCCATTATCTGAGTTTATCATAGGAGTTCAAATTTTTCTGACCATCATTTCATCCCTAATATATAGCCTATATATACAGCCTAGATATATTTTTGGCACAGTTCCTGATGTAAACATACAAAAAATATTATATTCTTGAGTTTCTTGTAAAATTACCTTTTAGTAAAATATTCAGAATGAAAAAATTTAGCTCCTACAGAAAGTCTCTTCTGTATTTGTTTGTGTTAACGTTAAGTGGGTTACTCAAATGGCAGTGAGGAGGTTAGATTTTTTCTCCAGTTATGACATCGAATACAAAATAATTTGGGAACAATATTTAATTGCTAATTTTGAATTATTTTTTTATTTTCAGGTCCAGCTCCTCAACCTAAGCCTGTGGCGCCACCACCACAGAAAATGATGGAGGAGGACAAGAAAAAGAAAGGTTAACTTTTAAGTTTATCATAAAATTTAATTCCTTTTAAAAAAGATCAAACAAAATTTTAAATTTTCATCATTTATTTTTGGTTTTAACCCATTACTGAAAATTTAAAAACATTCTTTTTGAAAAATGGAACTGTCCCATCTCTAAAGATGATTGGAGAAGAATTACCGTTGCCAATGGGACACTAGACGAGGTCTAAAATAGAAAACCAAAGTCACTTGTTTTCTCTACAAAATCCTGTGATGAATACAATTCTTTCAAGGAACAGGAAGTTCCGAATTCAACTCATGAAGGATATAACGCTAAGCGTTTCCTTGAGTGAAATGACAATTGCACCATACAAATAACATCCTGTCTATTTTTCCATTTGACCAAAGATAATTGTAAATACTTCTTATATCTTGTTTAGGAGTTGCCTTCCAGATTTTCCATTGTGTAATTCGTTTTCTCTGTGATTTTTTAAGAGAAAAATGTTGCGCAGTGCTTTAATTTATACCATGTGTGGAAGCCCATTTTGACAGAGCATACTGTATCAAGTAATTGCATGATATATAAATGATTATGTTATTATCTATATTATTAATCCCAACAATTCTTTCCTCATGCTGGCCAAAATCATCAGACAATAAATCTTGAAGTATTTGAGTACTAGTTAATTTAAAATTTAATTATATTCCAAATTACCTCAGACATATTAGTTATAAAATATTGTTAATTTATGACCGGATCTGTGAAAACGGACCTTATCTTTTGGGAGTAAATTTTCCCCAAATTTTTACACATACATGCATAGAGAAAGAAAACCTGGAAATGCTAGCACAAGTTGACTCTTAAAGCTCAGTAATTGAAGGGGATATGAGTCCTGAAGTTTCATAAAAAAAATTCATAGGTTGTAGAAAAGTGTGATTTTTACTAAAAGTTTGAGAAAATTTTCGCCCGTAAGGGAAGGTGCCTCTTCACCAATCCGATCAAATTTTATGTAGTTTATCAAATGTTGTTATTTTTAGAAATGCAACTTTCTCTCTAACAGTCTCTAATTTCAATCTTCATTCTTTTCTCTCAGCGGTCGAATCTGAGCTGTTAGAACAGCGAAGATCCCTTGCTCTTCAAAGGAAGGAGTACTTCAAAAAAGCATCAACGATCAAAGATGAACTTGGAAAATTAAAACGTCAGCAAATAGAGCTCAGCCATGAAAAGAGTGGATCAGAAGTCGACAAAATTCTCAAACAAAACAAGAAATTCCAGGTATTTTTCAAACTATGCTAGAGCAAAAGAACCACAAGCTCTGTAGACAAAATGCTAAAACACCTTGAAAACGGTCAAATTTGCTGGCCGGCTGAGACATTCTCGCTACCGAATTTCCACCTTCAGCATCTCGTTAGGTAAATTTAAAGCTGAATGATCAAAAGTACTGAAAGAAGAACATATTAACCTTTTTTTTTTTTTTTTTTAAACCATTTTACCTTTTTTTCACATGTTATTGTCCCATGAGAGAGGCAAGGTCAAAGCATCAAAGGGAGATTCGTCCGCCAAAGCCTGTTAGGTCAGACCGTTTTCATGGTATGGTTCTTCAGCTCAAGTTTGCAGGGTCCTCTAGAGCTTTTTTGAAAAGGATCAAGTTTTACTTTTAATATTTGGTTACCTCAGAACCGGTTGTTCTTTTTTTCTTTAATTTTAAATTTAACTTAATTTGTTTGCAAAACTTTGTTGAAATTATTTTTGTTTAGCTTCGTCTAGACAGTCTTTTTCTTTTTTTTTTAAGAAAAGAAAATTAATATATTTCAACCAAATCATCTATGTTAAATTCTTTCAAGTAGCTGCCTTTTCAAGTCCTAAAAAGGGCATTTTCTAATTTTTAGCTACCTCAGTTTTAACGATTATCTTCACAGTCTGTACCCTTCGATGCATATTAATGTTGTTTCTTTTATTCTTTTTCAGTCAGAGCTACAGAATAAATTGAAAGGAATTGACAACATCATCGATATGCTGTCCGGTATCATTGGTGACACGAAAGACTTAGATTTAGAAGAAAAAGAACCAACACCTCCCGGCCATGCATCTTATATTCTTGAACCACCGCCGAAGAAGGAACCCAGAATCATCAGAAGTTCCCCTGCCGCAAACAATGCCCCGAAACCTGATCCGCCTTCCCGTAGTATGGTGCTAAATTTGGATCCGTCTCCTTCGCCGGGCTCAGACTTTGATTCATTTAAATTCACGTCTCAAAAGTCAATCGAAGTACAGTCCCCGCAAACTCCAGCCAAGTTTGTGACTGAAACCTCAAATGATGCGGTAAAGTGAATGATACTCTCTTATTCATTCGTATTATCATTGTTTGCTCTCCGTAATTGCTAAGATTTTATCTATTTATTTACTTATCTACAGCTTTCACGGTATTTATCTTTTCAAAATTATTATTACAGAGAGAGAGAGAGAGAAAATAGTCGCTGTAGAAAATATCAAACAAATCGAAGAAAACCCAACACAAGAGATATGATGGAACTGACATGATGAAAAGTCATCAAGTACTCTCTAGCAACTAATTTTTGGAATGTCAGGAACTATAATATTTTTTTCCATTTTAAAAAATAGCTATTTTCACTAAAAACTGAAAAGTTGTTGCACGGACCTGCATTTCTTGTTTTTCCGCTCTAATTAATTTGCATCTTGTACTGAGGGTAGTTTTTCCCAAATACATTACTCTCTTGCATTTGAAATAATAATATATTCAATGATATTTTAACAACAAGTGTTTCATACTTTTAAAATGATAGCCTCCAAAAATTGAATTAAACAAGCGCTATTTGCCAGTTGCAACTGATACATCTAGTCATTACTTTATGCTCAAGCTTAGTGTACATATAATTTTTTGCAATTTTGATTTTATTTTAGTGGGAGCCGGAGTTCATAGAAAGACCAAAGTCTCCTCTGGGTCAAAGGTTGGCTGCAATAAATCCGATGGTGGACCCACCAGTGCCAAAAGTCGCTCAAGTCTCAGAACCGGCTGTTCCAAACTTAATAAGAGACGCCATTGAAATTAAAACGCCACCTCCTCCAATCTTCATGGCAATGGAACCGAAGGCTCCATCTCCTCCAGTCACTAAAGATTCACCATCACCTAAACCACATCGCAACAAAATCGCTCCGATTTTCGATCCCAACACTTTGCCAACGCCCAAACCACCTCAAGTTACCCAACGGAACCCAGATTCTCCAGTTGTTGTTCTTGCAAACTCACCTGCCAGTCAAGCTGTCTACGCTCAACCACAAGTACAGCCGCAGCCATCCAAGCAACAAGCACTCGTAGCCAACCAGCCTGAAGCTCCTGGGACGCATAAACCTCTGGTCAATTATATTCATTACGACCCGGAGATTCATTGGTGCAAAGTTTGTAATGTATTTCCACGAACAGCGAAAGAGTATCTGAATCACTTACATGCCCCAGAGCATAAAAAAACACTCATGGTAAGCACAGTTTTTCTGCCCTCCCACTAGGGTCTCGAAACATTTTTTTTCATTGATTTTTTCAAGCCAATGAGTTGAACTTGGGTCCAAAGATAGACATAAGGGCACATCAGAGTTGAATACAATTAAGCAGAACCAAGTGACCTTTTGAAAATGATGAATTAGCAGTAGTTTTAAGCTTAAAAAGTTAAGAATTGTTTCCTGTCGAACATTTGAAGTTGTGATAAAATATTTTGAATACATAAGTAGGAGTCAAAGTTTATCTTCTGTGTCAATGTCGTTGATTGAATACAACTTGAAACCTATTTAACTTTGTTCCAACTTGCTGTGGCTTGGTTTTTCGTACTGAAGTTGGTCACATTAACGGTAACAGGAGAACGCCACTGACATTTTTATTGAATTCTATGAGATTTAGCATTCATAACAGTCAAAAAGGACCCTGCTTAGAAAACGAAAGGAATTTCTTAATTTTGTTATTATTTGATGCAATGTTCTTTATAGCCTTTTGAATACAATAATTCTAAAAGTAGAACGCTCGTTGTACCAATTCCATGACAGGTAAATTTTTCAGAAATTTCACCCGCATTTTCCTTTGAAAATGCGGGGCAACTACTGTGTGTGAAAATTGCATATAAATTGTTATTGTTCGAAAAATTTCATTCTTCTGTCTGTTTTATCTTCCTTGATGGCAGAAAAAAGCTCCCCTAACTCATCAATTTGACATTGTTTAATGCAACATTTTTAGTCGATGATGCTTGTAAAAATGCTTAAAAATTATCTTTCAATTCCTGCTTTTCTCAAAAATGGCCTCTAAGAAGAGTGACTTTGGAAGCTTATCACGCCTTAACAGTCATAAAGGATATCATAAAGGGTCTTTGGCAGTCTGGATAATCAGAGATGGTCAGAACATTTACTGCAACCTGGAGATGTCAGGGAAACTGAAAGAGAAAGAATCGAAGTGGATGTTTTGTTTGAAGGTCAGGAAAAGTCTAGGAATTGAAAAATTTTGGAGTCAAAGGAAAGGAAAAATAGTCAGGGTATTGGAAAAGGAAGAATGTATGGAAACTCTGCATATCAAGTAATAACAAATTGTAGCAGAATCATTTGGTTTTCCATGGAGGGTCCTTTTGACTAGTGTTATAAAATCAAGGTTTGCATGATTGCTTCGGATTGACAATATTCCAGCTTTTCCATGCTATCTTTCATTCAATTAAAATTTACCCTACTTATTTCATATCATTCGTCCAAGGTATTAATGTAAAATTCTTGAAATATTCTTGCAGGAACATTTTCTCTTGGATTGAATCCAGTGTTATTTCAAAAGGGAGTTTATGAAAAACATTAGTGTTTATTTTTCCCCAAGTTTTCCACATTGTTTTTTTTCAATAGCTGTTCTTTATTCATTTCAGGAGAAAAATATGTTTGATGCTCCGTGGCACAAAGCATTTCCACCGGAAGAAATTTCACCTAATTACCCAGGAGCGCCAACTAAGAGAGTGCCGATCAGAGGTATTGTCATTAGAGAAACAATCTTTTTCACTTCTTTATTAAACTCTGAAATTTTCACCACAAAAGCAATTTCTTCTTTTACTTCTTAGTTACCTACTATTTTTTATTTTTCTCAGCATCTTTTCCTGAGGCGTAAATGTTGTATAGATCTTTGTAGTAACGACTCTTTGCAAAAATTTGAATCATCGAAAGGTTTTGCGCTCCAACAGAAGCACTAATGCAGCTTCCAATCTTATTTGGTGGTCGAATCAGACATTCCACTAGAATCTCTTCGATTTTGAAGTACCGTACATGACATAAAATAGTACAGTTGTTTCTTTTGTTTATTTACTTGTTTCATTTCTGATATCTGTTGTTTTTTGTGTGAGTGTGTGTGTGAATAATTTGTTTTAAATTTCAGATTCCATCTGGGTAAAATGTGCGACACACAGATATCATCATGAGTTATTTCATTATATGATTGCACTAATCTCTTATTTTTTTGTGTATGAGATACTTGCTCTTTGGGAATGTTCCTCTGCTCTGAATATCTCAAAATATCTTTCCCTTTGTTTAAAATCATTGATATACCATTGAATTGCTATGTTTATCGCCTCTGTCTCTTTGTATCTGGATTCTTGTAAAGATACAAGGAAAAGTTTTGTATTTGTACTTGGTCATTTTATGTCTTTTTTGTGCAGATCTAACCTTTCAATTTCCTCTTGATTCCAATATATTTTCTCTTGTTGTCATTCATTAGTAAAATAAAGATAAAAATGATTGATGGATAATGAATCAATTTAATTTGAATTCTTAATATTTTTTTTAATTTTATCTAAAAACTGTCAGTCAAACCAAAGAACAGGCACAGCGTTACATTGTAAGAAAAGATTTTCATTTCATTCTACTCAGTGTAGCCTTTGTTATTTCTGAGCTGGAAATTAGTAAATGCATCCCCCGCCCAGACTTAGCGGCACCAGTTTTTCACCTTCAGTAATGGAAATTACCTTCCTTCTATTGAAAAAAATTCTAAAAATTTGAACTTGCTTTTCTCTAACTTAAGCTCAATTCAGTTAAACTGAGTTGAATGTTGATTAATATGTAAAAATAAACTTTCAACTCGAAGCGCAGGAGCAAAATCAATAGAGCACTCTCTCAACTTCAAGGTCGTTTTGATTAGATTTAAGTAGCATTTGGACCTTACACGAGAAATAAAAGTGCGGGAACTCAGAATAGTTGCTTTTCATCACCATCACTTCTTCATAGCGTTCTTAGTTGGTGAAAGTCTTAGGCTCTGGATCAATTTCTCTCAATGTATTTACTCTGTATATACTCTATAATAATGAAATAAAAAACAAAAAATAACACTTATTAGAAAGTTTCAAAGTCATCGACTTTTCATTTTTTTATTTTTTTAAATTTTATTTTCTTTTATTTATTTCTCTTTTTTTTTATTCAGCTCTTTTACCTTCTTCAAGGGTTACTCAATAGAAGGATAGTGCCTCATGCACATTGATTTTCTTTCAGGTTAGAAGGGCTGTTTTAATAAACTCCTCACTAACTCTATGTCTTTATGTTGGCAGGTCTACCATTTTTTGTATCCTCAGCGGCGTGGTACTGCAAATTATGTAATGTTTGGATAGGAGATCTACATTGTGCTTCCCTGCATTTGAAGTCCATCAATCATGCCTCTAAATACTCTGTAAGTCACCAATAACTACCATATTGACAGTAAAACTACAGGATTGTGTAGCTCAGTTTGCGACGTTGCAGACTTCCTATCTTTCTTCATTTTTTTAATTAAAAATACGCAAAGACATTTTTTAAAATCTTCCTTGATCTTCCTCTCAGTGCGAAGAATATTCAATGAAAATTGCATGCTATAATGTTAGTTTGTTTTCCCTTAAAAATGAAATGAGAGCAGAGATTTTGTATATCTGCAAATGAGATACTCATTCCTGCAGGTTCACCCTCAATATGGCATTCATGTAGTTTTTATAAGTGCTTAGATGACAGCCAAGCTGAGTGCTGAGCATTATTCCTGACCAATGCAATAGAGCTTTCTGCTCCTTTTCTTCTTCTTTTTTTATAAGCCTTTTGGGGTGTAAAGTTTAACGCTTTACCATAGAACTGTCGCCATCAAATCCAAGTTCATGGCTAAGTTCTTGACAAGTCAGGAAAACCCTGGAAAAGTCAGCAAGAAAAACTTTAAATGGGGGAAGACTCTAAAACAAGGAGATGCTTGAGTACTGCTTAAAAAACAGGTGTCTGTTATAGAGCACTGTCAAAAAGGAACAAAACGAATAATATTTATTGCAACATAGATGTAGCAGTCTAACTTTTTTAATTTCCAGAGATGGCAAATTTTTTGAATGGATCAAATTAATTCATCCCTACTTGTTCTTGTTTACCATAAACTTCGTTCTGTGTTTTAGGATTTCACCGAGCAGAATCCACATTGGGAAGTAGATTGGCTTGCAGACAGAACTAGAGCGTATGAAATTTCCACTGAAATGAGACGGCAAGAAGAGACTGAGAAGCTAGCTCAAATAGTGCTGGCGCCAACCAATCACTTAGAAGCTGTGAAACCCACCCCATCAAATCCAGAAGCTGACATTGAAGCTGAAAAAAAAAAGAAGATACTAGAGTTGATAGCAGCCATTGAAGAAAACAAAAAAGAAATCTTAAAGGTGAAGAAAAAACGCGCTAGAAGTAGTTCTTCCGATAGTTCCTCTTCATCGTCCTCCTCCTCTTCCTCAGGTGGTAATAAACGCTCCTCGAAAAGTAAAACTAAAAGTATTCGAGTTGCGATGCGCAACCGTGCTTCAAAGCACAGTAAACGTGAATCCAGTCCTCCCCGGTCCCTGTCTCCCAATATGAAACCCAAAAAAAATAGGAATGCAACCCCAAGTGATGACAAAGAGGACAAAATGATAAAAGAATGGATGACAACATCTGATAAAGACTTAAAAGAATCCGTTTCTAGTTTAAAAGATAGGATCAAGTCAAAGCAAGAATCAAAGAGTAAGCCCAGGTATGAAAAATCTAAACACGATGAGAAAAACGAAAAGAGCCGTGAGAGAAATGAGAGAAATGAGAGAAAAAGAAGCACGTCAGAAGAGAAATCAGAACGCAGATCAAGCAGTTCCAAAGTAAACGAGAAGGATAACAAAAGGAAGCATGATTTAAAAGAAGATAGGAAAAAGGAAGAGAAAGATGACAGGAAAAGAAGTGACGACAAAGAAAATAGAAAAAAGACTGAAGAAAAGGACGTCCGGAAGAAATACAAAGGAGACACTGATAAAGAAGGGGGCAAAGATGCAGGAAGCTCCACTAAATCTCCTAAAGGAGGAAAATCTGAGACGAAAGCCTCCAGCGAATCTGACAAAACAAATAAAACCGCAAAAGATGAAAGTCCATTTGAAGCGGTACCCAAACAAGAGAGTACTCCTTTCGGCACAAAACCCATCAAGAAGCAAATTAATATAAAAATGAAGCTACCATTTATAGGTCGAATGCCATTCCATAAAAAATTGGGAGGCAAAGCAGGAACAAAAGAAGACAAAGATGAAGACCAAGGCGATGACGCCAAGAATAAGACCAGTAAAGAGGTAGTCAACGAAAAGTTAACGAAAATAGCCACATCATTGGGTAAATTTGCCCCAGATGGCACATTGATCGACCCAGTGCAAGCGGAAATACAATCCATCATGGAAGAGAAAGTGAAAGAAGTCACCAGCAAAGCCGATAGTACTAAAAAAGCTGACAAAAGCGACGTAGAAGATATGGATTTGGCAAATGAGAACAGTGACGACGAGAGTAACTTGCCAAGAGATTTGCAAACAGCACTTGATATTATCTTCCCAGAGGAAGAGAAATCTGATACCAGTAAAGAATCAAAAGTAAATGTCTCAACGCCCACACCAAATTCTACCACCTTTTTCGGTCCGCAGAGTGAAGGCGACCTGCCCAGTCTGCCCCCATCCCTGCCTCCTCCCTCTTCGGCCCATCCTACCCCAGTGATGAACACACCCCTCCCTGGTCCTGGGTTCCCCCCACCGCAGCCTATGATGCAAGGAGTGCCACCACCCATTTTGGGTCCAATGATAGTACCCGCTCCGCCCATGATGATGAGTCCACCCGGTGCTCCAAGGCTGCCACCTCGTGGGCTGCCACGCATGGGCCCTCCTGGAGCACCCCGCATGGGTTCTCCAGGACCACCCCGCATGAGTCCTCCAGGTCCACCCCGAATGAGTCCTCCCGGCCCGCCTCGCATGAGTCCTCCTGGACCTCCAAGGATGCGGCCTCCTGGACCGCCAAGACAAACGCCCCCAAGAATGGGTCCTCCTGCATCACAGAAAAAACCTCCTCCTAAACCGAAACCTCCTACCAGTCAGTCACCTCAAACTCCTGCTGATTCACCAGCTGTGAGTGAAGACGGTAGTGGCGATTCCAGCAAAGAAGGGCAGCCAGAGGTGAAAAAGAGGAGGAATCCTTTGTCGCAGAAGAAACGAAGAGCACTCAAGAAATTGCGTGAAAAGTTAGAGGCGCAGGAAAAACAACTTCAGGAGCAGTTACAAACTTTGCAAGGTGACGAAGCGAAGGTTGAAAATAATGTTACAGTGGAAAACAAGAAAGAAGAGTCTGAAGTAGAGCAAGGAAAAGTAGATCTTGATATAATGGAAATCCCAATACCTGTTGACCCTCCGAAAAAACTCATTCGGAACGATTCAGACGAATTAGCACTGCTTGGTATTGATGCTAGTGATTCACATTTTTAGGGTACCAGGTTGGATATATTTTTTTTTCCAAGTCTTTCCTGGATGTGATGCATGATTATTGCTATGCGTGATTATTTTTAATACCGATTCCTCACTGTACTATAATGTTATGTATGATAAGTAAGTTGTGCTACTTTTTTGTAAATTGTCGTTACAAATTATAATTTTCTTTTTTTAAATTTTTGCTTTATTTTTTCTACTCAAATCAAATACAAAATAATCTGTACCATAATCTCTCTGTTGAAAAGTTAGTTGACTTTGATGTATCAGACTCTATCTTTCAGTTAGGATGGAGAAAATTCTCGGGGGCTTTTCAAGTATTACGTAAGCCATCTGAGAGGGAGGGGGGGGGCTGATCTTGGCCTATGAGGTGTTCCAAAGGAGCTCAGGCCCAGGCTAATGTAAGCCTTCCTCAATTTAAATATTTGCTCAGAAATTTTTTAGGTTTTCTTTGTCATTTTTTGGAAAGATTTAAGGGGAGGGTCAAGCCAGGCATATGTTTTCACAATAAGAGAGTGAGAGATTGGCTCACATGGGAGAAGGGGTAATAAAGTTGACCAGAATGGCTTACGTAATACTTGAATTAAATCTTGATGCAATTATATGATCTATAGCACCAATGAGCAATATGATTCTCTCTGAAAACTGTGATAGTCTTGGCATTCAGGCTGCATTTTCATAGTGCCTCATTCTTTGTATGAAAATATGGAGATAATTTTCCTTGAAACTTTTCTGATTGTGAAAACAAAACATCTTGTCATGGTGAAATCAAAAAAACTTTTCCTGCCTCTAAACTTACCATTTTCTTTGAAGTTTAGTGCATAATTTTTTTTCACAATTTCAACCTTAATTTTTTGAATACTAACTAAACATTCTTAACTAGCAGCAAAGTACTGTTTACAAATATCTAAGATTAGATTCAATTAATATAAGTAAGTGGGGTTGAAATCAGCCGTGCGTTGATAGTACAATTAAATAGTAAAGAAATCAATTTCTTGCTTGGTATTTTCCCTGCAAATGTCCTCAAGTGCTTTTGAATTCTCAGCGAATTCTGATACGCTCATTTCATTCTCAATCCGTATCCTTCTTCTGGAAGAAAGAAAATAGGAATGTTTCATGAAAGATTCAGAGTCATCTCCCTGTGTAAGATGAGCTAAATCATGCAAGAGATTTTAGATGTCCCAGATGAGCTCTTCCCCCTCCTGTCCACTAAGAATTATAATAATTAGTTCATTTTTTACACCTTCCTATTGAAATTGCATCTACAACATACAGTGTAATTTTGGGAGAGATGGATAATTATTTCAAAGTGGAGTAAAATCAGGAAAACAAATATTTCAAGTAACAACGGTCTCTATTCTCCATTGAAACTTCAATTCTTAGTTATTTTTTTCTGAGTTTTAGAGGCCTTTTTTTATGGGGGAAAAAAAAGTTCTAGACCTCCAATGATTTTGCATTTTGAGAAGTGCCTAAAGATCATGGATTCCCTGTTTTCATAAATACCAATCATGCACTGGAGAGCTGCAAATTTCTAAATTGAAGTATGTATTGTTTAAAATACTAAGAAAAATGTAGGTACTTCTAAAATAGGGACTAAGAAACCCTCGTGTCCTAAGTTTCGAGGCCTAATTACCAGAAAAACTTTCCATTTGATAACTAAGTTGGATGATCAATTTTCAAAACAGTTTCTTTTAAAGTTTAGGACCTCTAATTTTTTAAACAATAAAATTGCCTGAAACATCCAATACTTCAAACAATAAAATATTAAAAAGTCACTCACTAGTCAGAGGAAAACTTTTCTTAAATTCCAAAGCAATACTTATCTGTGCAATTTAACAAACATTTTCCTCTGACTAGCGAGTGATTTTTTAAAATTTTCTTGTTTGACCGTGCTCTAGTCAGGTCCTTCTGACCAATTTTTAAATTTATCCAATACTTTTTCAGTGAAATAAGAATGGCTAAATTTAAAAAAATAACTCAATGAGAACGCCTGAAACTACAATCAGTCATTCCCTCTAAACGTGTATGTACACCGGGTTGCAGCACAGAGCGGCGCTAACAAGTCCATCTCTGTCTCCCGGCTACGATACCTGCTACAGCGCAGCCACATCCGTGAGTGAGGTGGATTGTGGATTCTGGATTATTAACCTCAACCTCAAGAGTGATTGAACTTTAGTGACGGCTCAGTTTTCTGTACTCCGTGCTCTATTTTCGTGCAGTGATCTTGCAGTTTTCGAAATTCGGTCCTTTTCCTCATCCGCTGAGTAAATATTTCGTCCTCGTGTAATAAACTCATCAGAATCTTTGACAAATTTAATCTGTGACCCAGTTCGTCGACCTTGACTACATTGTCCTATTCGAAGTTGTGCGGCTCTAAGTTTGTTGATTCTCTTGCCTCGGAAGTTCAGCTTGTATATCTTTCGATTTCCGCCTTCGGTGATTAATTAGTGCTACTTATTTTCACGGAATTTATCACGGATCTCACCATGGAAGGCAGTGAAAGAGGTATGTGCATCTTCCTGACCTAGTAACAATCCAATCCACCTGTAAATGCTATCCCATTTTTATCCCTTTGGCTGACATGGAATCTATTTATAATGTCTGCTCCATTGGCAGATTGGATCATGATCCCTATATATTACCGTCCCTTCTTGAATTATCTTCCTATTTTCTCAACACATTAAAGAATAATAGGGAAATGAAGGTAATCGTATACTGACGAATGAGAGTCGGTCCACTAAACAAAGACAGCGAGTATTGAAATTCTTCAGATATGTGTCAAATAGTTATACCGTTCTTTGATTTTATTGTTAGTAATGTGTTGAGTAATTCTCTCAGCTCTCTTTTCAAGTAAATATGATCTTATGAACATCAATTTTATCTATAATTTTGTTCATTCATGGTTGTAACCCTAACCTCAAAACATCATGATCCTCACTTCGAAAGCTGTGGGTTTTGAGTTGCTATTTTATTGGATTGTTCCCAGCCTCTTTTGTTTAACATCAATTGTTTAATTCATGTTGTCATCACTTACATTGCTCGCAGTCAACAAAGATGCAGCGGAGCGTTTTGACTATAACTGGAATGCATTAATACTTACTACTTTTTATCCTGGTCCAAGAGTGAGTGCCTTGACCACAGATTCCAATAGAGTTACTAAATACTGTAGCGCTGATTAAGTCACTCTCTGAGGCTGTTTTGTCCAGTGCCTCTGAGACAAGTGCGCAAAACCTGGCGATGCCTTATGTTCAGGGTCCAAGCTCCGGGCTTTGCTCCGAAAATATTTGTTTTAAATTCATTTGATAAATTGGGAGTTTTACACATTTTTCAATTTGTTATGACTTTGGTCAACATCATTTGCCAAAATTCGCGACAATAATTATCGATCTTAAGAAATAAATCCTATAAACTAGGTACGCGGTGCCTGCGTTTCTTCCATAAGCTGCCGTATTAAAAAATGACGTTGGGTTTCCACTTTTGGCAAAAAGAAGGCTTTGAAAAAAAATCTCAGAATCCAATATTAAATATTCAAGTATTCAATCATTCAAAAAAGTACCTGTTAAAATTACAATTTTTTCAACACCCAACTCTGACTTGTCAGCGTTTTTTTCCTTTCTTAGTAAATTTTTTATTGGAAAGGGTTTCTACAGCCTTTATCAATATTGAAAAATAAATAAGAGCTCTGCTAAAGGATTGACTTCAACATTTTCCAGTAAGTACATAGTGCCTATTTTGTACTCTATGCTGAGCAATCGTTTGGCTGATACTGTAAGGCACTTAAGTATTTACTGCATTGCATTCTTGGTCAAGTTCATCCGCTATCCAGTGTGAATTTAAGGTAGCATATTAATGGCTAAATGCGAAAAGTGTGAATCTGAATTAAAACGTTAAAAAATGTCCGATCGGTAACTTATATTTTATTTTCTTCCAAAAACTAATTAAAATATTCCCTTACAAGTTAGTGTGATTTTTCAAAAATGTGTCAAGAAAATTCGCAGAAAAGTTCAATAGAAATCGTTAGTTAGTTGCCAATCATGAGTGGAGACTTAAAATATAGCAAAAAGAGACATGCATCATTCAGTGTAAGCCATAAATGTCTATAATTTCTGGGAAAATTGCGCGTTTGCCAGGATATCGAGGTGAAAATTGCGTAATTTCTCACTATTTTACCAAACCACCGGAAGAATTGCGCATTTCCAGCGATACATCCTGATTGTGAGTTGAAAATCGCGAATGCTCTCACGATTTTGCACAGTCGCTGGAAAAATTCAAAAATAGCGTATTTTACGCTGTATTGAGGCGAAAATCGCGGTATTTCTCACTCATACACATCATGCTCGCAGCTTTTGATGCGGACATCAAACGAGCAACTATTCGAACACCGGAGTAGAGATGTAGTATCACGCGAAAATGAAGGAAAATCTTAGCTTAAAATTACCAACGCTTATGAATATTATGCTTGTATCGTCATACAAATCGCGTATCTTCCTCTATGTTGAGGTGAGCATTGCGTGAGCTTTCATGTTCTTAAGTACACAAGCGCTGGAAAATTCGCGTATACGCCGCTATATGGAGGTGCATAGCGCGTAATTTTTGATGATTTTTACTTGACCGCTGGAAAAATCGAGTAAATGCCGCGATTTTGTGGCGAAGAACGTGTTATATGTAAGCCATTTTTAAATTCGCGTATTTGCTGCGATATTGAGGTGGAAACCACGTATTTTCCCACTTATTTGCCACCTCGTTGGAAGAATCGCGTATTTTCTGCGATGCTGAGATGAAAAGCACGTAAATTCTAATCAAAAAATCCCCGGAATAATCGTGTTTTTTCGGTAGCGAGGCGAAAATCGCGATATTTCTGTTTGATAACGATATGCTCGCATCGTTTGAATGATACGAAATCAAGCGCGCAACTAATCGAACTCCGAAGTGGGTATGTGGTATCATGCGAAAATGAAGGGAAATCTTAGGGTTTCGTCTGTTTCAAATTACTGACTTTTATGAATATCGGAATCATGCTCGCATCGCTAAATGCTGATTTCAAACGCGCAACTATTTAATCTTCCAAGTAGGTATGTTGTATCTCGCGAAAATGATGTAAAATAAAAGCTATTCGGCTGTCTCAAATGACTGACGCTTATGAATACATCCTTATCAAAATCACGCATTTTTGCGATAT